CTTTCAATATCATAAACATTTTAAAACTCGACATAGTTCTAGTATATCACGAGTGCAACTCACGGATACAGTAATTTATAAAGACCGCATTGCACGTCGTATTAAATATTTTCGCGAAGCCATCGGATTATCGAGGAGCATTATTGATGCTTCTGTCAACACACTTATCAACAGCATTAATTTATCTCAGCATTTATTGAAGTGTCGTATGTAAAATCAAATATTAACGGACAGATAGTTGAAAATAACGCGGAAAGAGTAACTCGCGAACTGGAAAGTCAATTCCCGCTGTCATTTTGTTAATAATTAACGACAGTGCAAATCTCAAAGCTGATTGATTCAAAAGCTTTCCAAAAATTCTCGAACTATGTGTCTGTAGCGGAAATAACTAACGTAATAGAATAATAAAGTTATATAGAAAAGTAAAATTAATAAAGAAAACTTTTATATTAATTAAACTAAATTTAATTAAACTAAAAGATTTTTTTATGTAAATCACTCACAAATCATTACGCTTAGAGAAAAAAGTCGTACTATTAACTAGAAATTTGTAAACAAATAGCGCCTCAATTATGTATAATAAAGTTGTAATAAGAACAATCAAGTTATATGAACCAAGAAAACATAATAACATTAATCATTTATCATAATATAATAACATAATCAGTCAGATAAACTAATGTATTGTATATCATTGTTGTCACTATGTATTTTTGCAACTTATCTCAGTGATATTACGGCCTTATGCTTATTTCACAAAAATATTTTGTCTAAACTCAAAAAATATATTATATTCTATTTGTATGAAATCTATATAACTATATAATTGCTATATATAGTTACTATTTTACTATACAATTAATAATTCACATATATTGTTGCTACATCTTTATTGTAGTATTGTCTCAATACTACTTTCGTGCCAATTATTTTGAAAAACTAGTCTCGCAGGTTTTTAAATTTCATAAATACAGTTGCCAGAACTATTTTTTTTTTTCTCTTAATGCACGATGACTCGAATGCCAAACTGACTCACATTCGATATTTAACAACAGGAATTTAAAAACGGTAAAACATAGTCGCTCGATAAGAAAAGAACGCGGGGAAAGAGAGGAGGGAGGGAGGGGGGGGGCGGACAACTGATCGACGGTGAGAGAAAAATGGAATGGACAATACAGCGAGAAAGAAATGGATCGGCAAAAGGAGCGAGCGTTCATCGCACGCTAACATCTGCACTCGCGCCGATCGCGCTTCGTCTCTATAGATAGACGCGTGCAATGTCGGCATGCATCGCGCACGAGAGAAGACGAAGAACGATAATGCGACAATCCGCAGTCGCGATC